AATTTTTTAAAATATGTCAATAATGATTTTACTCAAGAAATTTTCAGGATTTTTGAGTTGGGCTCGCAATTACCCCTGTTAAATGCTATTTTTATTTTTTTAAGGTAATGACACTAGCCCAAGAAGCAGACAGATTATGTGTTATTCATCAAGATCATTCAGGACAAATACAGTCAAAAAATGCTGAAATCTCATCTAATTGGGAAAGTCTTAAATCAAAGGTTAGTCCCTCCTTTTTTAAAAATATTTAGTCTTTTTTTACTAATATAATTTGCGATTATAAATAATTAAATAAAAGTAAAAAATAAAATAAAATTTGATGTATTTATAGGCACAAGAGCGCCGTAGACGCCTGGATGAGTCGTATCTTCTTCACCGATTTCTAGCCGACTTCAGAGATTTAGTATCTTGGATTCACGACATGAAGGCTATCATTTCTGCAGATGAATTGGCGAAAGATGTAGCAGGAGCTGAAGCATTGCTTGAAAGGCATCAGGAACACAAGGTTTGTATTGAATATTTTCAAAAATCAAAATTTCTTATGCAGAGCCAATTTCTGAATTCAGCTGACAAATGCCAGCGCCTCTTATCCATGGCAACCATGGGTGCAAGTCTTCCGTCCCCAGGACGGATTTCCGTCTTTCGAAAATGTCCGCGGATGGTAACACAGGGATGAGATTCTTCCGCGGATTTCCGGTTTTTTTTCAGATTTTTTCATTTTTCCCGCTAATTTCTGCTGAAATTGTTCTTTGCACAAGTTAAAATATTTTATGAGGAATTTAATTTTCCGCGGAGCGAAATTATTGAAGTCCTTATTCCTCCCTCTGAAGTTTCTCTAAAAATCATTTCCTTGGGATAAAACTGGTTGACCTTCATACAGGGATGAGATTTTTTTTTGTCTCTCGAATTTCAGCCTTTTTATCAAAAACTCCGATTCTCTAAAAGTTTCGTTTTTTTTATCAATATCCCGCTTTTTTTCTTCTTTTTTTTAAAATTCAGTCGTTGAAGTAAAATAATTATATTTATTTACGATTTTCAAAGATAAACAGAAAATTCAATCTACGCCCTAGCTGCCAACCCTTCCGCATTTTTACTTATATTAGCTATTTTCTCCAATTTTACGCACCAAAAATAAGATTTTCCGTATTTTTTATCCG